TTAATCATATTGATTTTTTAATTGTTTTTTTCAGGGTCTTCAAATCAATTTATATTATATTAGACAATGGAAGTCCGAACTGATGAAATACTCCACGAAACATTGTCAACCACCTTCAAACAAACGTGAAATAAATGTTATTATCATTATTGATGGATATTAAAATCACTACGCCACGGATTCTATTATATAATTGTTTCAGAGAGACTTTCGTTATACAACTGAATGTTGGAACATTTTATTTTAATCAAGTCATATTCTCATTTTTAACATTTCCATCATTTATGGCTTTCGATCCAGTCAAGAAATTTTGAAACTCTGGTGTAAACTGTAGGATATTCTTTCTGCGCACAATCATGGCCCCTCGAGACGATTCCATACTGCACCCCATCAACGATTAGGGGTCCACCAGAATCACCCTGAAACAAAATCATTTCAAATCATCATCAAATGAAAAATAATAATTCTTTACAAGAATTTCAAGAAGGCACGGATATGTTTTGATGGAATGGAATGCGTGCTCAACCAAATGATCTTTCCATCTTTCGGAAAACAACCCACAATTTCAACACAAACTATGACACATTACATACAGGGTGACAATTTGAAAACTCGCAATAGCTATATCTGAGCAACCAAATAAAATAAACGAAATCGCTGAAAACAACTTTTATAATAGGGAGGGGGAAACAAAATTAAGTAACAGCTAACTTATTTTCACCCCGTCGCAGCCAGCGACCCCAACTTTATATTCTCAAACAGCAACCCCCTACTTGTACTTTACAAAGCTACATTCGATGTAGTAGTTGTTGGTTCATTGAATGAAAAACTATTCGATAGAATTGAAATTTCATTATCTATCAATAATCAAGGAAATGTTCAAAATGATTTCCATTCTCTTCACTGGCAAATGATTCTCTGGAAACAGCTCGGCATTCTTGGATTATTCTTTCTTTCAGTTGCTCTATTCAGTCAGCTTGCATCTCAAAAACAATATATTTGAGGTGGCCCCAGAGAAAAAATCAAGAGAGTTTAGGTCTGGAGATCTATAAGGCCATTCAATAGGACCTTTCGTCCAATTTATTGATTAGCATAAATGTCATTCAACCAACGTCTAACTGGAACTACTTGATGAAACTGTAATAAATTTTCTTCTGGAAACAAATTGTCGCATATGTCTCTCTGATTCATGAACTATCCAAGGTTCGATAGATCTTTCTAGCATGTGAGCATACATTTCGTCATTTAAATAAATAATCAATAATGGACCAATAATTGCATCTCCCAATATACCCGCCCAAACGTTAACTTTTTCGGGGTATTGCGATTGCCCTTCTCGAAATATTCGTAGGTTGTTGTCACTTCAGTAACAACAGTTTTCTTTATTTGCATGCCCTTTTAAATGAAAAGTGCACTCGTCACCAAAGCGAATGTTTTTGATGAACCGAGGTTCTGCGATAATTCTGTCAGGAGGGTCGTCTCCAAGTTCTTGAAGCTGATTTTTCTGGGTATAAATAAACAAAAGGATACAGGCCTGAAATGTACAAGAGTCTCAATATTACTGATAAATTTTCAAATCGAATAAATACTGTTGTATTTGATAAACCAAAACTCACTATATCGACTGTAGCTTTGTAGGGTATCATTGGGAAATATTTCTTAAGAGCATTTAGCTAAGTTATCACAAGTAGGGGGTTGCCAAAATGTGCAAATAATCAAATTTTCTTTCAAATGACCAACAAGAAGTAATTTGTTCATTATTAAACTTGCTGTCAATTATTAACATATTCATTAATTGCCTCTTTTCCTAGTAATAATATTGCATTGTTAGAGTTTTTTCAAAATCTACCTGTTTTGCCTGAATTGATCATTCATATTATCAAATTTTAACGTAATATGTCATGATTTCACTTGTTTTCCTAGGAGGAGGTTTATTGTATCATAATCGTTATCACCAAAATTAACCATTCATCTAATTGAATATCAGGCTAGCATGGCCAATCCAACAAAACTGCTAAAAAAATACATCAATTTGTAGCTGAATAGCTGTTAAAATTAGTTGCCAAAGCAACTATTTTGTTGCTCGTGCCGATCCTTAGAAAGCGCAAATAATGCTATAGTGATATCAAGATAGCAAGGTAACTCAATAAATTATATACTTTTTCTTTGATTTTTACCGAAGATTCAGTTACTATTTAGTTGCTAAACCTTAGATATAGCGAAAAAAAATTTAATATTTTTTTCTGATTTTGCTATCTTGAAACTGTTTTTCCTGGAATTACAGATGTTCTAAATTTGTTGCTCACCAAAAGTGAACTTAAATACACCTTGAGTATCAGCAACAAAATAATTGAAACCGATCGGTCGATTTTCAAATTTTTATTATTATTTTCCACGTTCTTGCTATATTTAAAGTAATTTTCCTTAGAATGAAAAGTGTTTTAAATTTGTTGCTTTCATTTTTTTTAATTTTTCTAATTTTGCTATNATATCACGATAGCATTATTTCCGATTTCTAGGGATTGGCAGGAGTAACAAAATCGTTGTTTTGGCAACTAATTGGCAACTATTCAGCTACAAATCGATGTATTTTTTTGCAATTTTGCTGGGTTCGCCATGCTAGCCTGATAGGGCTGATATTGTGGAACAGTTGGATATTTTAGTCCAACTGATGAAGCACCCGTGTAGCGAAACTCATCTTGAAAATTCTATAATCATCATCATGGATAGTGCAAGATCAAGTGTTGTCCAATAGAAGCAGTGTCAAATAAATGGATATCATATCTGCAATGAGGAAAGTGATTATTGCTAAGTAATACTACGAGTGATATTTGAAATATACTTACGTGACAAGCTCCCTTTTGTCCTTTTCTATATCCAGCACACAACTCAATGTCAGGGTCTACAAATATACCTATAGTTTTATTGTCGTAATCTTCCAAACACTCTGCATCATCAAAAATGCTTACGTCTAACTTTCGTAGATCATATGTTATGCTCCCGTCCTGTGGAAAAACGATCATCAATTCACATGTCGTATTCTTCAAGAAACTATTATAATTATATTCTCAACTGGGATTTTCTCTTCATTTTGTTAGGTTTCCAAAAAAAGGTTCATGTACTTGTTTTGACTGTATCCAGTATTGAAAAAGCCATCGAAAGTAACTTTTCCACTTTTATATAACGATTTATATATACGAGAACGTCTACTTCCCCCACTATACGGAGTGCTCTCTAATTGCGATGAAGTAATGAAAG